AAAAGATCAAGACACCTTCCTTCCAGCAATCAACAGCCAGATAAGCAGAGATTAACACCAATCAATCAATCAATCTATCTATCAATCTCCTAGGTATTACACATAATTTGGATGTAAAAGAAACGAATTTGATGTTGTATTGTTTAACTGCTGCCCGTTTGTTGATAGCTCAAAACTGGAAGAGTAAAGTTTTACCTACAATGGAGGACTGGAGATTGAAGGTTTCGCATCTCGCTGAAATGGCAAAAATTTCGGCTTATCTGAAGGATCATTCAAATGAACAATTTTTATCAATATGGAGAAGATGGATTGTTTATATTCAAAATAAGCATAGAATGGTGGAATATAATTTAGGTTTTTAGATAAAAACTTTTTTTTCTTTTTATATATANATCAATCAATCAATCAGAATAGAGCTGGAAGGGACCTTGGAGGTCTTCTAGTCCAACCCTTTGCTCAAGCAGGAGACCCTATACCACTTCAGATAAGTGAAAATAAGTTGACCCCCTCCTCTTTGTGGCAGCCCCTCAAATACTGGAAGACTGCTATCATGTCCCCCTTAGTCCTTCTTTTCTCTAGAATAGCCATACCCACTTCCTGCAGCCGTTCTTCGTATGTTTCAGTCTCCAGGCCTTTAATCATCCTAGTTGCTCTTCTCTGCACTTTTCCCAAAGTCTCAGCATCTTTTTTTGTAATGTGGTGAGCAAACCTGGATGCAGGATTCTAGGTGTGGCCTCACTAGGGAATTTATAAAGTGGTACTAATACTTCATGTGACCAGATTGACACAATTGACAAGACTGATATGAGACCAGCAGTCAAGAAGTCCACAACACCCCAGTCAAGGAACTACCAACTCAGACAAACAATCCAACAGTAAACAACAGCCTAGTCAAGGAACCCCCAGGAACACTCCCACCAACACTGACAGGGCAAGCCATGTATATATATAAACAGGGGGCAAGCCGCAATTCTTCCTAGCACTGATGATGTCACCTAGATGGGTCATGAAATGTCTGCGAGAAAACCACCAAGCTCAGAGAGCACCAAGGACCCCACAGTAGCCCTCCTCCTCCTCCTGTCCACAAACCCCACTCCCTTCTAGCACTGATGATGTCATCTAGTTGGGTCATGAAATGTCTGCGAGAAAACCACCCAGCTCAGAGAGCACCAAGGAGCCCACAATTCAACCCTGAGCGATAAATATTCTCTTCTATTGGTGCACAGGTCTTTTCCCTAGAAGACTAGGTTGGGCCATCATCACACATCACATCACCGTCGGTATGGAGGTGAGCGTCCTCGCCGTTCTGTGAAATCTTTATTTGTAAAAATTAAACCAGAGGCCTGCTGCCCAGAAGATCCATTCAATTTTGCGCTGCTTTAGAAAAGACGCATTAAATGAAATATTGGGGGCCATAAAGATGCTCACCCAACAGGGGGAACCGCAGTCCCCTTTTTTTGTGGTCACATCAATGGCAGAATAAGGGGATAATTGTGGGGTGGGGACCAGTGCTGATCAGAGATACAGACTGAGAATAAGATTTCTTAAGAGGGTGGGCAATCTCCCCCCCCACGGAGAAATTTCTTTAAGAGGAACAGAAAAGACCACAACTTTTGTGCATTATTGTGAGTTTGGCGCCACCGTGTGGTTCAGCATCTAAGTGTCTGCACAATTTTGTATAACTATGCAGAATACACTCCTCCTCGTTTTTCTAATAAGAAAAAAAAGTCAATTTTAGCATGCCTCATCAGGGATGAATTAACCTAAATTAAATCTAGGTCAATGGTTTATTTATTTGCTACTCATTATTTCTTACTTCCCTTCTGCTCTCTGCTTCTTCAGCAACTTGAAATCAACTCTTCTCGTATGATCCTCGGTGGCATAAATGGGACTATGACAAATCACCCAGCAGATGGCACTGAAGGCCTATTAAAGGAACATATATCTTCTCAACAATTTTCAAAGTCCACCAAGCCCAAAATATAAGTTCCTTCTTTGTAAACTCTCTGAACTGGACCCCAGGGAAAACAAAGGCAAATGAAAGACATTTATGCCCAAGAGGTTCATCGTGTCTGCCAAATCACTCTTCCTTTGTAGTTCATTACAGCTCTGCTGGCTGAGGAATTCTGGGAGTTGAAGTCCACCTATCTTCCAGCTGCTGAGATTGAGAAAACTGCCTGATGTCATTCTGCACTGTCTCATTTTTTTCATCCCATAATGTATCTCTTCAATAATAGAAATATTAAAGGGGAGTTAAAGCGCATTATGGACGTGGTCATTTTAATAGTTGGTTAATGTTAGATAGATTTTGATTATTATATTTGTAACCCTGTGTTCAGCTCTGGGGAGGCAGAGGGTGGGGTTTTGGGGTGGGTATGGGGGTTTATACTGTAATCTTTATAAAACTTTTAATAAAAAAATAGAAATATAAGAAATTTGTTGTTGTTGTTAGTTGCGAAGTCGTGTCCGACTCATTGCAACCCCATGGACAATGTTCCTCCAGGCCTTCCTGTCCTCTACCATCTTCTGGAGTCCCTTTAAGCTCACGCCTCCTGCTTCAGTGACTCCATCCAGCCCCCTCCTTCTCTGCCGTCCCCTTCTTCTAGTGTCCTCAATCTTTCCCAGCATTAGGCCCTTCTCCAGTGAGTCCTTCCTTCTCATTAGGTGGCCAAAGTACTTCAGTTTCAACTTCAGGATCTGGCCTTCTAAAGAGCAGTCGGGGTTGATCTCTTCTAGGCCAACTTTCTGTCCAGGTCTTCTCCTTGCCCACCCCTCAACTGAAAATGCCATACATCTGAAAACTAATCTATGGTCCATGGTGATTCTCAAGCATCCAGGTCATAGAAGAAGAAGAAGAAGAAGAAGAAGAAGAAGAAGAAGAAGAAGAAGAAGAAGAAGAAGAAGAAGAAGAAGAAGAAGAAGAAGAAGAAGAAGAAGAAGAAGAAGAAGAAGAAGAAGAAGAAGAAGAAGAAGAAGAAGAAGAAGAAGAAGAAGAAGAAGAAGAAGAAGAAGAAGAAGAAGAAGAAGCTGCTGCTGCTGCTTCTTGGATGAGAAGTGAAACTTTCCTTTTTTCAAGGGAAACAAAAACAAGTTGCCTTTTGGAAAAGCACCTTTGGGACAGCCATCCATGGTCTTCAAAAAAGGAATGAAAGAAACCCCACTTAGACAAGCAATGCAGTGTGCAACCACAACTGAAATAGAATGGTCAAGGACAAAGTGAGGGGAGAAACTCAAGTCAAGTGTTCACAGGTCCAGTTTACTTTTTGCTTAAGTCAACAAGCTTACAAATGTTTTTTACCAAACAGTTGCAGGATAAAATCGTGGAAGAAGAAAGCAATTGTACCTGCTTCCCTTCAGGTTTCACCACACTGATCATTGTCGGAAGAGTGCCTAATATCTCCTTGAATCACACACAGCTCAGTCTACACACACAATGCCCCCATTGCAATCTTTAAAGGAGTCCACACCTGGACATGAAAAGCTTTCCGACAGCAAGGATAACGAGTGCGTAAACAGCCTTGAAAGAGAAGTGGCAGTTATGGCGATTTCATAATATCTACTTATCTGAATGCAAAAATCAGGTTGCTTTCAAGAACCTCCTCCTCTTTCCCCAAAGTGTGTGGGGCCACACACACTACAAAGGTCTTTTAAAAGCATGGCAGAGAGGCATTTTTCACACTCTTTACAAAGTCAAGGACATCCGTCAAAATGATATGTCGGGAAATTCAGGACAAAGAAAAGAAAATACACAAAGGAGAATATTTGTAGGTCAGAATTGAAACTAGAGGTCCTTGTTGCTCTCTGAGCCTGGCTGTTTTCTTGCAGACATTTCATTACCCAACTAGGTAACCTCATCAGTGCTAGTAAGGAGTGGGGTTTGCTCTCAGTTTATATTCTAGTGGTTTGCCCTGTCAATGATGGTGGAAATGATCTTGGAGGTCCTTTGGTTGGGCTGTTTACTGTTAGCTTGTTTGACAGTTCCTTGACCGGGGTATTGTTTATTTCTTGATTGTTGGTCTGACGTCACCTACTTTGGGGAATGAAACATCTGCAAGAAAACAGCCAAGCTCAGAGAGCACCAAGAACACCTCAAGGAAATACATATTTACACAGCAAGGAGTTTGGGTTTGGGATTTCCTACCAGCAGCTCTGGTGATGGCAGCCAAGGACATGTTCATGGGGAATCATGATATAAAGGGCTTGCACCCTTTGGCCTATCGTAATGAGTTTCCAAAATGGACCCAGTTGGGCCCAGAAGGCTTGACTTAATTGGTCAAGAGCCTGAGACTGAGTCAGGATTTCCTTGGGCTCAAAAAATTTGAGGTCTGTGTGTTATTCAGCAGTGTTATCTGCAAAGAGGAGGCCAAAATCGCTTTTTTTCCAGAGCTCTGATTTATATAAACAAACATGTGAAGAACATCTGTGAATGAGAATGTTAAAAAGCTATGCGATCATTTACGCACCCAACATGTTTCCTTGGTTTTACAGTACAATCGCTCCATGGTGTATTCTGACATGAATCCAACTGAGTGTTACTCATTGCGAGTAAATGATCATAGACACATTTCTTTCCATGTTTGTATCTTCTCTTCCAACGAGTATGGCCATATTGTGAGGTTGGCCTTTGGGCATTGTGTGGACTCAGCTTGGATCGAAACAACAACAGTCTCCTGGCCTTCAGCCTTATATCAAAAGATGCCTTAATAAATAATCTGAAACCCAGCCATATCTTCCATCTACAAAGATAACTCAAGCTTCCAACTATGCTTTGAATCACTAAAAATAACTTCCAAGAACATGTCTGATCCTCTCCAGATGTGGACAAGTGGAGAAACCTAGACTTACAGAAAAAGATTGTGTTTATCTATAAAAAGAAGTCCAAAGAAATGTACAGAAAATATTTATGTTCCTGCTGGTTTTCTCTCTCTTTTGGTTATATCAAGCCACAGGAATCAGATGGAAGAGGAAGCTTCCAACTTCAAGGTTGATATTCTTCTTACCTTGCATTGCCCCGACACGCAGACGGAGGTTCCATTTTGATCGCATGGTGTCCCGTCAATGACTTTCTCTGCCTGCCTCACGTAGAAGCGATAGCCAACCGCTCGGCAGTTGAGCTCACATTTCTGACTGCCCTTCACTGAAAGGAAGGCAGAAAGGGTAAAAGTAGGACAAGACGCAAACACAAATATTTCCCCAAATCTTCTTAACGTTGCTTAATTGTGCCAGCCTTACCATGAACAGAATGAAGCGGTTGCATCAGATAGCAAATTAGTTTTTTAGGAGGAAGGGTTTGGGACCAGGATGTATGCAAGGACTCAGTTGGGACATTAGATCAAATGAAGTTCAATCAGCTCCCCCACATGGAACCAACTCCCTGCATTGGAACCATGCAAGTCAAATTGTGTTTAAATTGCAAATGGTTTTCAAGGGATGCCTGCTCATAATGCTGTGTGGGAACAAACCAGGTTTCTCTCCTGCCCCACAACCTATTTGGGCAACTCTGGAGACAAGGAATTGTCTTCCTTTGCTTCTGGGCATCCTACATCCAATGACTATAATCCTTCAGACTGTTGGACTGTTCTGTCTACACTGTCTTTCCACTGGTCACATTGGATGGAATTTATGGAAACTGAGCTTCAAGGAGCTCTGGAAGACTCCAAGTTGTCCTATTTATCCTTGAGCCTTCGGGATTAAGCGAATCCTATAAAATGCTCTCTTGAATGTTTCTTGAAACAAGCCACGAACATGTTGGCAAGTTGCCTGGCTGGTCCTCTCCTACAGTTATCTCCCTCCTTCAATTCGCTAACATGTGCCAAGCCCTCTTCCTCTCTCCTCCTGCCCAACACCCACCAGCAGTGGCGACATCTTTTCTCTCTTTCCTTTAAGTTTTAGAAACAGCTGGATGGGTTCTGGAGCAAAGTGGTGGTAACACCAGTTCTCTTTGCCAGGGATCTTATAGTGGAAGAAAGAAAGGAGATGGGATGATGGGAGCACTATTGGGCTGGACTAGAACAGGGCTTTTCAACCTTTTCACCCATTGTACCACTTTTAGGATATGGCAATATCCGAGTACCACCAGTCGCCTAGCAAAGTGTTAAAAACTTGATGACCCAAAAGTGATAAAGTACAGGTAGTCCTCGACTTACAACAGTTCGCTTAGTGACTGTTCGAAGTTACAATGGCACTGAAAAAAGTGCCCCCCAAAGCACAGCTGAGCAAGACAGCTGCCTGCCCGCCCGGCAGTGCTCTCATTCCCCTCCCCTGCTACCACTTTTCTGGGATGGTCGCGTACCACCTGCCAGGTGCCAATGTACCACAGGTGGTACCCGTACCACTGGTTGAAAAGCCCTTCGACTAGAAGACCTCCAAGGTCCCTTCCAGCTGTGTTCTATTCTAATGACAAAGAAATGGAAGGGGGCTCTCTCTGAGCTGAGACAGTGGGCTGTGTTTGGAAAATCAGGTTTGTGGCATCTTTATCAAGTACAGCAAGGGGTGCAAAATAGAAAGTAAGCCATCTGAACCACATGCAAAGCAAGTGAAAGTCTTTCTGATATCAAGGTTTCCAACTTCATCCAGATATTTTTTTTACTAGATTATTTTTTTTCCCCTCCAAATTAAAACTGAGCATGAGGTCTCTTTACTTTGGGCTGCGTTGGCATTAAATGTTGGCTTAGAACATTGCAGATTTTTTTTTTTAAAAAAAAAGGGGGGGTGAGAAAGAGGAAGAAACAGAGGAATCTGATCCTCTTCAAGAACTTCTCTAGAAGTGACTGAGCTTCTGCTTGGCCAGGTTTCTTCATGGGCTGATATAGTGGTCAGGAATTGGATGATGAAAGGCCTGCATCCAAGAGATTAAACTGTTTTGCAATACCATACTACCAGTTTTAAATCTATCACTAACAATATAAACAGCCAACAGTTGTTTAAAAGATGTGGGCATCTGATTTTGCTTGATTCTACTTTTTTTTCTTTCCCAAATTCAGTTCTTTACCTCCCGTCCTTGCATTCATAGCTTAAGATTTCTACTCACACATGTGTTTCTCCTTCCCTAATATGCAAGTTTTATGTTTTATAATCAATTTCTTTGCATGATATAAAGTTTAATGTAACAGATTTCTTGGAAAGCCCACACTACACTAACCCCAGAACCATTTGATTTCTCCCAAATGTAGTTTGGAGATATCTTGAGATGGATTTTAACACATGCAATGAAGAAGATGCTTGTTCTCACCACACTAAATTCACTTTTGGCAGTTGATCCTACTTCTCTTGGACGGAAACCCAGGCAGGATTAATTTTACAACCTCTGAAGCAACCAAGTCAGACGAGAAAGGAGCATTTATCTGTTCCTAAACTCCATCGTGATGCTCCCAATTTAATGAGGCAGTTCTAATTTTCAAAGCACATTCTTCCATATCTGTTTACAGTCTCTTCAAGGGCAGATTTGGCTGCAACTCCTAGTTCAACATGACAACCAGTTGCCCACAGGACCTTATCCTTGTAAGGACTAGGGGTGACATGATAGCAGTCTTCCAGTACTTGAGGGGAGAAGAAGGGGTCAACCTATCCTCCAAAGCACCTGAGGGCAGGTCCAGAAGTAACAGATGGAAGATTATCCAAGGAGAGAACCAACCTAGAATTAAGGAGAAATTTCCTGACAGTGAGAACAATTAATAAGTGGAATAAATTGCCTCCAGAAGTTGTGGGTTCTCCAACACTGGAGGTTCTTAAGAAGAGATTGGACAATCATTTGTCTGGGATAGTATAAAGTCTCCTGCTCAAAAGAGGGTTGGACTAGAAGACCTCCAAGGTCCTTTTCAATTCTGTTATTCTGTATTCTGCAAATTTAGTCCTTGATATAAAAATGTGTGGAAAAATATATAGAAATCACAGGTTAAGCTACCCTTTAAGAGCCTCATCTTCTTCTTTGGGAAATTTCTGAGCCAAGAAGTTTTCATATTTCTTGTCTCCAATCTGTTGAATACTGAATCATGTTTCATAAATCACTGATCCTTTCTAATCTCTTTGGCTTAATTTATCTGCCATGCTTACTCTTGTTCCTCCCCAGGTCACATAAATCTTCATGGAGTTTGGGAAAGTCTTCCTGAATTTGTTCAGTCCTTGACATCTGTCAACCCTTAACCCATCGCTCATTCCAAATACACACCATGGAAAAAAGCACCCAAAATGATTATTAAGAGTTTGTGGGAATGAGCCAATAACATATCATTTGTTTACTGCTTTTAAGAGCATTCCATGAATAAAATAGACATTAAATAGATGCTTCAACCCAAAATGTAACTAAAATTACTTATTTCAGTCGGAGGACTTGTCCTTCCTTTGCCCTGCTTTTAGTATCGTGGCATTTAGATGTTTTGTCCTTATTAGGCAGTCTTTGCTCAAAGAATTTCAGTAAAGTTCCTTCTCCTTAATTTTACTTCTGACAAATTTTCGTCTTCTTACTGCTGTATTTAAATTATTTTCAATCCTTGCATTAAAGTCACCAAGGATTTGCACTGAGAAATTGCAATCTCAGGCAATCTAGAATAAAACCTTCTGAATTTAATCGGAGTTCCTTCGGAGGAGACATATAAGGATCCCATTGTGTTAGTGGGATTCAATGGCAATGCTACCAACAGAGCACAGTATGGCCTGGTTAGAAGGAAGGTGAGATCAACTTATCTTTGCGTTGCCTATATATTATAGGGGTTTTTTTTAACCCTCTCATTTTCAAAGTAGCTTAACTAGGCAGTATTATCTCTTCAATTATTGTGTAGAGCCTGAAAAACCAGATAAGATGCACTGAATAGTTATAGAATCAATTCATTATCAAGTTGATGCTGATTCCTAGCAACCACATAGATCTTCTCCGTGATGATCTATTCCTAATCTGGTCCTTCAAGTCTTCTAATGGTGGCCCCATCACCACTAAGTCCATCCACCTTCCTGCTGGCCATCTTCTTCTTTTTCCTTCCATGAGAACTGGATCTTTACATTGATTGATTGATCAATTGATGGCTTATGTCTCATTCAGTTAATGCTATTAATGAACACATTCCTTTAACTATTGGTTGTACACCATCCAGAGTCACATTCAGTGAGAAAGGTGGTCATCTAAATTTATCAAAGAAATAAATAATGTTCTCCAGGAGAATCTATCCCCAACTTGTCCCTTCCGGTCTTCCAACAGTAAATCCACCCCCTTGCTATTGGTTGTCCTCTTCTTCTCTTTCCTTCCCTTTTTCCATTAGCAAGGGGGTGGATTGATAGTTGGAAGTCCCGAAGGAACAAGTTAGGGATAGATTCTCCTGGAGAACATTATTTATTTATCTGATAAATTTAAATGGCCACCTGTCTCACTGAATGTGACTCCTTTTGAGACATATCTGAGGTAGAAAATTTGGGGTTACCCTTAAAGAACCAGGAATTCCCAACATTAATTAATTAGACACTATTTGATTTTGCCTAAGAGAATATTGAGGTTATGAAGAAGACCAAATGAAGCCAATGGGACAACAGAAATTCAGTGGGGAGGGTGAAAGGGGGAAAAAAAGTATTGTTCTCTAAAAAGAAGGGGAAACCTACCACAAAACTCCTCTTCCTTTCACTAAATGTCCACTGGGGGTCTCCACAAGTCCACGCAGTTGTGAAGTTCTCCGTGAATCGGGCATGTATACATTTACATGTCATTTTCATCTATTTATATTTATACAAACTTTCCCCACAGTTTATGGGAAGGAAGTGCATCCACCCAGCCACTCACCCAACTTCACTCTGTCTGTCTTTGTATTTATTCCTCGTGATAAGCGTTCCATACGAATGTAGTTTTATTAAGTGGTTGTGATTAGGTGGCCAGGACGAGCAGATGCACCATCTCATGGCAACATACCAACATAAACAAATCTTCAAAGGATAATGGAACCAAGACTTCACTCACAAACACACCATTTCCCAAACCCCAAAAACTGGGAACTCTTGCTTCCCTCCTGGTAAACTCTCAAGATCAACTATCTATATCACAGCTGAAGACCATGGAAGATCAATAGGAAAAGGATCAAGAATGTCTCACTCTAGTTTTTGCTTGAAAACTCAGGGGTTGAGTTGTATAGATCTCGTTGGAAGTTCCACGCTATCTTC